CAAGTGTCGCAGCCTTCGACGTACTTGCGCACAAACGCGTCTCGCTGCGGCCACCAGTAGAGACGGCTGACCAGCTCGATAGTCCCGTTCCGTCCAGGATGTCCTGCAGTGATCGCATCGTGGCACAAGAAGACGACTCGTTTGCGAAGGTCCTTACCAGGGGGAATGTAGAGCTTCCCGTGGTGATAGATGAGGTCATCGCGCACTTCCCACTCGAGGAGTCCGTTCGCCAGTTTCCGAGGGCCCTTCTCCTTGAGGATGCGGAGAGCCTCGACGACTTCAGGGTCGAGTACCTGTGCGTCTTGAATCTCCTGCTCCAGGGTGCTCGTATCCGTGAGGGTGGCCGACAGAGAGACGAACCGCTCGGGTCCCAGTACGATCTGATCTCGGTTGTCCTCTGCGTCCGTAGTCTGGTGGGTCGGGAGGCAAGAGAGGGGATCGGCTTGGGTGTTCGTCTTGCCAGGCTTGTGCGTGAGGCGAAAGTCGAAGCGGCTGAGGTATAGAGACCACCGAGCCTGTCGACGAGTGAGGTTCCGTGCGGTGCGCGAGTACTCAAGATTACGGTGATCGGTGACGATCTCGAAGGGTTCGGGGAGTCCCTCCAGGTAGTGTCGCCAGTCTTCAAGAGCACGGATGATTGCCAGCATCTCTCGGTCGTAAATCTCATAGTTCCGTTCCGCTTCAGCCATCGACTCCGATCGGTAGGCCACCGGATGTCAGAGGTCGTCGCCCAGCTTCTGCAGTAGGACTCCTCCGGTCGCGAAGCCAGAGGCGTCCACTTCGATCCGCGTGGGCCGAGCCGGATCCCAGGAGACAAGCACGGGTTCGCTCGTAAACGCATCCTTGAGGGCTTGGAAGGCCAGTCGCTGTGCAGTCCCCCAGGTTCAGGGAACGTCCTTCTTGGTCAGGTCGTTGAGCGGTCTCGCGAGCTTAGAGAAGTCCCGGATGAATCAACGGTAGAAGTTGGCAAACCCTAGGAAGCCGCGCAAGTCGCGCAGGTTCTTGGGCGCTGGCCACGCTGTGACGGCTCTGACCTTGACCGGGTCCATGGCCACTTCGCCTTCACGGATGATCAGGCCGAGGTACTCTACCTCTGTCTTCTCGAACTCGCACTTCTCCGGTCGCAGGTAGAAGTCGTGTTCCTGGAGTCGTTTCAGCACCTCGTGGGTTACGGCACGGTGCTCTTTGAGTGTCATGCTGAAGATGAGGATGTCGTCCAGGTAGACCGCGACCTTCCCTGCAGCGATCAGATCGGCAAAGATCGAGTTCATCAGGGCTTGGAACGTGGCAGGGGAGTTGGTAGGTCCGAACAGCATAACCCGTGGTTCGAATAGGCCTCGATCGTGGACCGTAAACGCGGCTTTCCACTCGTCGCCCTCCTTGATGCGGACATTGTGGTAGCCCCAGCGAACGTCAAACTTGGTGAAATACTTGGCCTGGCGCAGGCGACTGATGATGTCGGACGCAAGGGGGAGAGGGTAGCGATTCTTCACCGTGATCTCGTTGAGCTTGCGATAGTCCTGGACTAGACGGAGCTTGCCATCCTTCTTCTTCACGAAGAAGACCGGGGACGCCATCGGGGATTTGGAGGGGACGATGTAGCCTTTCCGAAGGTTTTCCTCGAGGAACCGATCGACTTCCTCCTGCTCGTTAGGCGACATCGGGTAGGCCTTGGAGCGTAGAGTTTCTGGGGCGTTGGGTTTGACGTTGATGGCATGGTCGTACGGCTTGTGCTCCGGGAGGCGTTCCGATTCCGCCTCCGAGAAGACCTTCGAGTACTGTCGATACTCCTCCGGGACGATCTCCTCGAATGTGCGTTTGGGCTTGTCCTGGTTGGCCTTCTGTGCGAGTTCCGTGGAGTAGGTGTACCCCGCGGCGCACCACAACTCCTCGGTCGTGTCCTCCAGAACCTTGGCCTTCCACCACTTCCTTCGCTGCACCCGGTTGGCGGCGATCCGCTCAATACCGGGTTTCCACTCCGCCTCGGCCTCTGTTTCCTCCGCACCAACCTCCATGGTGCCCTCCTGCCAGTCAATGTCCGGATTGACCCTGCGAAGCCAAGGTAGGCCTAATACGACGTCTTCGGGGCCCAGGTCTGTAACTAAGAATTCGAGCCATTCCGTGTAGTCGCCCATAAGTACTTGTAATCTAACGTAATGGGATATGCTGCCTGCACTGTTCTTGGAGCCATCGATGTTGTAGAGGGGGATGTCTCTAGCTAGTCTATGTAGGTAAACGTTGTTCTTCTTTACGAAACGGTGGCTGATGAAAAGGGCCGTTGCCCCACTGTCTATCATAGCTGCGGAACGTATACTACGGTTTCTGCCTTTGAGTATCACACTGACATGGAAATGCGAGCTAGACAGGTTTAATTCGGGAATGATACACGAACTAATGCTATCGTACACGCAGGGGTCAGGGATCTGGGGAGGCGGAGAGTCCGTAGTCGTACTAGGGGGCGCCGCTGCGGCAGCTTTCGCGCGCGCCCGCTCTAAAAAGACTTCTGCAGAGAGGCGAGCTGGTCAGCGAGGGCCTTCTGCTGCTCCATGAGCTGGGCAATGAGGGCATTGGTCGCTCCAGCATCTGCAGACGTCGACGTCGACGCTGCGACCTGAGGCTCCTCGGGTCCCTCCTCCGTTGCAGCAAGCTTCTGCGAGCGGGGCTTCTTCAGGAACTTGTCCATGCGTACCGTCTCGCGGTGCCCTACGCGGCGACAGTAGCCGCAGATGTCCTGATCGTGGCCGCCGTCCTTCTTGACGTGCGCCGTAGAGCCGCAACTGTAGCACTTGCCGCGCATGAGGCGGTTGAACTCCTCGCGCGTACGGGTCGCGTCGATGTCCATGGTGTTCGGGTCTCGGGGCAGGCGGCGTGAAGGGGGG